TGATAAACACAATATGTGTTCAAAATAAGATTGGTCAACAAAAATCATTCCATTTCCTGAAATACAAAGAATTATATGGCCAAATTAAGACTCAAAATCACAACAGAATGGATGAAAAACATCCAAAACAGCACACAAGGGTTAAACAAAGCTATAAATGAATTTCAACTGTCTGTCATATTTATAAACACCTTCAAGAATTATATGTGAATTTTGACTCTCCTTTTGTTGCCAGGCACAGAAAACACATACTTCCAAATCCTGACTCTAGTTCTCAGCTTGGGATACTTCCTCTTCGACATGGCCTGGTGTGTGTATTTCCGTACAGAGGGTCCGGTGATGTTGGCCCACCACACCATGAGCATCTTTGGAATCCTGCTGGCACTGGGACTGGGTGAGTCAGGCATCGAGACCTGCGCCGTCCTCTTTGGCAGTGAGATCACCAACCCACTCCTGCAGGCGCGCTGGTTCCTCAAGCGCATGGGATGCTATGACAGTTTAGCTGGAGATGTGGTGGACCTACTCTTCATTCTTCTATTTGCCTCTGTGAGGATCGGCGTTGGAAGCAGAATGCTGTACTGCGAATTAACATCTCCAAAGCCATCGCTAATTGTCAAAGTTGGTGGGGTGGCCATTTACACTCTCTCATGGATCTTCATGGTAGACATTGCACGGTTTGCTTGCAGGAAAACTCGTGGTAAATACAGGCGATGGAAGGAACAGTACAAGCTGGATGATGTTAACGGACATGCTGTAAAAATAAAATAAGCCATTCTGTGCATTTGAGTTGAAAATAATTTGCATATGCTTCTGTGTGTATCTAGACTCTTTGCAATTGAACAGGATTTGTATACCTTTATTGCATTTCCAGAACTTTTTACTGCATATGAATATTTATGTAGTTAGCAGTTTATATTCAATAACAACTATCTCAAAAAGATTTTCCATTATAAATAAATGTTTCATTCATTATTCATTGAAGGGGTGGTGCACTATGTTATCATATTTTAAACTTTAGTTGATGTTTAATGTAGCTGTGTGAACATAAAAAAACATCTCTGAATGTAATACCCTCAAAGTTCAATGCAAAGGGAGACATTGGCTTTTACAGAGTTAAAAGCCTACAGCGAACAAAGTTTGAGGATGATAAAAAAAGACATCCGGATTAGTGAGATCACTAACGCTTCAGGTTATGCCCATTCACCATGAGCATGAAGGGGCGTAGCCAGAGGCGCTGTAATGTTATAGCAGAGAAAAGCTAAAATGCCATCCAAACACGGCTATTTCCACAGAGCTTCTTCTGTTTTTGTATTTGGGCTTCCAAAGGACACGACATAAAGAGTGCTAGGGCTAGGCGATATTGAAAATATGCACACTCTATATATTTTTTCATATTAAACAATAGCAATAAATTTCTAAATAATTTGTTAATGCTTCCAGCTTTAAAAGTTATTATGCCAACAATTACTGATGCAACAAAATTAGACGGTTTATTAAAGGGCCATGAAACCAACCTCTTTCACTTTAAGTCAATCTCAGAATTAAAAAAGGGGAAAAAGAGGGGAGCAAACAACTGTCACAAAATGAGACACAAACCATGAGGAGTGATTTTATAGCTTACAAAGTTAAAATGCAAAGAAATAAATAGCAAGTAACTTAATGTCCTGCTGCATTTGTTATTTGTAATTTTGTTAACACATATACAATTTGTTAACTCATTATAAAGATGATCGTGTTTATATAAACAAAAGAAATGAGAAAGACTTCTCTACTGTTGAATCCTCGAGTCTGAATGCAGAAACAGTGGAGCAGCAGCAGGTCTCTTTCCCTGTTTCAACCATTAGCCATGCCGGTAATCCAAAGGATTTTAAACATAGGCGAACACAACAGCACAGATATAGGCGATGTGTCTGAATGGTAACGAATTCAACTGATAAAAGACAAAGTCCATAATTCTCCAATTCTCGTACAGCTCTCCCGACAAATATGCTTGCTGCAAACCAACTGCTTTGCTGTATCGGCCCTGACAGCATCGTGGAATGGCTAAATATGCGAACACACCCAGTCATTGGGTCTCACAGCTTGGCAGGTATGTCTTGTCTTCGGAAAGCAAAAACTATCATGAATAATTTAGCAACAGGCTCTTCTCATAGGATAAGAAAACTCCACTATGAATAATATTGAGAAACCGACACGTCCTCACTCCACAGATGTGAGCTACGTCACCGATTTTGATCCTGCCCCAAAAATTATTTTAAACCCTGAAGAAGAAATTAGCTGACAAAAGCTTAAAATCATCCAGTTTTCCCCACATTTAAAGCTGATAGGTGCTAACGTTGTCTTAATTAATGCTCAACACACACAAATCTGTTAACAAAAAAAGTACTCCAGGGTTTCTTAAACCTTTATATTACACTTTAAAAAAATTTTATAAATAAAAACTAATTACACATTTGACCTTGAATAAAACAAATAATAAAATACATTTTAAAAGACTAATCTGTTTAATGTCTGGCATTACAAGGTAAATTGAATGTGCAAAAAAAAAACATTACAAATTTTTGGGAGGATAACATCAATCATTGGTTATGCAAACTTTAACTACTTTCTCAAAAAATATTAAAGTGTTTACAAGTAAGATAATATGAAAAAAAATATGTGACTTTTACATGCATTAGCACAAATTGCTTCGCATTTTGTTAGCACAACCAAGCCTTAAAAATACACCCCAGACCACCCCTTTAATTGATTTATAATTACTTTTACTCTTACAAGGCATTTTATATGATTCCAATATACACATTACGGGTCAAAAGTTTGGGGTCTTTTTTTTTAAGAAAATTATTCTGTTCATCAGAGCTGCATTTATTATATATATATAAATATAAATATAAATATAGGTACTTTAAATTGATTCTTCTGTGACATATAAAGACTTGTATATATTCCATTGTTATTCATTTCTAACTATTTGTAAGGTATATTCAAAAAAAGTTTTTAGATGACATGTTAGTTCATATTCTTTAATTCCAACGATTTTTTTCCACAGCAAATCAAGATATTATTGTCCTTTTATAAATTCACATTACTATATTAAGATGTGGATCAATTTTCAAAACATTTCTGTGACATTTTACATCTATTCTATTAGTTTATCATGTCATGCTGTATTAAGATTGTGATACTTTGTATTTTCCATTAAACTTTTTTTAATACTTTTGCATGACATATCAGGATTTAAAGCTTAACAACTTAGATTTTTATAAATTTAATTCATTTCAATTACTTTTATTGTGCATGTTAATGTATTGTTCACTTATGTGGCTTTCCATTACATCCAATAAACACAATTTAAGTAAAACAAATGCAACACATAAGTTCTCTGGTAAATCCTTCCACCTTGTTATCAAAGCAAAGTGCTCATAAACGATCATATCATAAGGATAAAGTGCATTCACACACAACAATAAAATGATGTACTCATTTTATAACACCTTCTTCACAGTAATTTGATGCATTTCGGATTACTCCAGCTTCACACTCTTATCCCACATAGTAATTGGTTTAACAGGTTTCTCGCCACAACTTAAATTCACCTCTCACTACATAGTCTTTTGGATTTTTGGGTGCCTTTTGCTTCCTACCTGATATATACCTACAAATGCTTAAAGCTGCAAATTATCCTCACTGAATTTAAAATAAACATAATTTTTGAATGGATTTTAGTTAAAAAACAAATCATAAACACGAAACATGGAGCCTTATGTGATTACTTTTGCACACAGATGTACAGTACAAAAGAATACAGGTTACAGAAATGGCAAATTATTTTGATGCTGAGTAAATCAAATACACTATAGCTACTGTGTATTTTGGAGAGTATGCATGAATTAATAAAGCTAAATACTTCATTGAGATATTTTGATCATTAAGTGTGGTGTATAGTTTTAGAGAACAACTAGACAAACATTTTGACAAAACATATTGCCTTAAACCTATATAGACTAAAACTTAGTATTTCTTTATAATTTCACAAATGCATTTTTGATTTATTGATTTATTTATTTATTCACATATTGTAGCTAACAAAAAAACGCCAATATCTATGCAAAAATATATTAGGCATAAAACGTATAAGGAAAACAAACAAACAAACAAACAAACAAATGTCAATATAATTTATAAATGTTTTGTTTTGTTTACGTGTTTTATTTTGTTTTATTTATTTATTTATTTACATGGCTTTATTGTAGCTAAATTTATTTGTTTTATCAGGAAAACAAACAAACAACCAAAAAATAAATAAATAAAACCTTGCCAATATCCATTTATACATTATTTGTTTTGTTTAGATGTTTTATTTAGTTTTATTTATTTATTTATTTCATTTATTTGTTTATTTACATAAATTGTTTTATTGTAGCTCATTTTATTTGTTGCATCAGGAAAACAAACCAACAAACAAACAAAATACGCCAATACATGTTCACACATGATTTGAATTACAGGGGTTACACATAAATATTGGGATCTCAATCAATAAGAAATACAATTTCCATTCACTGGATTGCAAATATTTGAACAAGAAACTTTTAAACCACTAATGAACCGCTAGGTGGTGCAAAAGATTTAAATATGCTCCTTCTTTCAATAAATCACAGGTCTTTATTAGTATCTTCCAAAACTGTTTTATTTTTTAAATTTATTTTTGTTTGATCTGATCCTAAAAAGATTCTGTGTCATACATATTAAAATATGCGTTTTAAATCAATTTACAAGTCTTAATTCATATTTATTATTTTAACTACTGAGTTTGGTCAGAATACATCAAAAGTATGATTACTGTTTTTTTTACTTTTTGTAGATCCTGAATTTAAAATGACTTATTAAAATGAGTGAATAATGTTCTTAATGTGGTCACTGACAACTAGTGGGCTACTCTACAACATAGGGAGGTGATATTGCTGTTTGCGGAAGGATACGACAAAATGTGGTGAAGCGCCGCGGCGTAGGAATCCGGGATGTGATTTTACCGAAAGTCAGGAATTATCTGGATTTTTGTGATTTTTTTTTCTTAATCATTTTTAATCTTCGCACAGCGCGAAACTGACACTTATGACAACACATATGTGTGTGCTTTCTTTATCTGCGTTTGTATAGAGACGGAATCCTTGGTGAGCACATTTTGGTGGAAAAAGAACGGCTAAAAACTACTGAATTTCGGAAAACATGGAGACAAGAAGGGAAGGACCCGACTAGAGCAAAGTTTCCAAACAAATTATTACAAGAAAGAGAGGGAGTCGGTGCGCGAGAGGAAAATATGTGTGGCACATCCGTCAACTTTGGATTGTATTTCATTGCCCCGTTGATACGACGCTGTTTTAAGTAGAATTCCTGAAATTGGGAACTACACCGCTGCTCCTAGCTCAAACAGCCAACTATCTGTAAAGTTTTCTCCCGGTGTTATAGCGGAAAATGTGGGAATTCTGGGAGTTGGACTAGGCTGTGGACAGAAATCACAACGATATGTTCAACACTTTGGATGTTTTAATCCAACCTTTGTACGAATTTTCCCCAGATTTCCTCACATTGGAGTGGTCAGGATACGTTCTTCTGGAGGAAAAAAGTCCATTCAGCGTGTTAGAGGCCTAAAAAGGATGTATTTTAGTTCACATACTTAACAGTTCATCATTTTGTTGCAAACTGACGTTTTTTGCAATACAAAATATTCCGCGTATGGGATTAGGTTCAGTTGAGGAATGCCGAGTTGGACGTATTTCGGTGAGGGAAATGATAGAAAGCCGTCGAGACGTACGAAGTAGCATTTGGGACTAAAATGAGCGTAGAGCTTTTGGACTGAAGCGAAATGCAGCCGGGCGGTCTCGTTTATTCCTAAAGCAACAAATTAGCGAAATAGTGTTTTTCTGGCTTGACTTACAGCGCTGGTTTGGGATTGAAAAGAGGCGACTGTATCCAGACAGAGGCGAGGGAAGCCTGTCGGTCTGTGTGGTGGCATTCTGGCTGGGAAAATGATGAAGCGCCTCAAACAGGCAGAAAGAGTTGTTCTCCATTGATCATCTGTGTTTGCGTTTCGCATCGATTCTTTCGCTAACTCTTGTGTTGTGTACGGTCAAATGACCCAGACTACTAAAACCAACTCAGAAAAAAACGTGGGAATATAAACCATAAGCTTTTATTTTTCATTCAAGAGGAAACATTCCCATACACATCAAGACGGAACTGTCAAAATCCATTCCGTTGTTTATTATTTTTCTTTCAAATACAAAGGTGTTTTACCATGGTAAAATGCTAATTGGATAAGAGCTGAAGAAAATCAAGAAAGGAAAGCCCAATGAGCGGCACACAGTCCACGCTTGCTGAGAGGTAAATGATAACAAAATATTCGCATTGTTTATGATTATGACAGTGGCTTGTGTATGACAGTGCTTATGCATATCCAAACATCATGTAGTTGAGCTGAATCAGATAGATATACAAATAATTTACTGACAAAAACACATTGAACATAGCAGTCATTTTATAACTATTTGAACACACAAGATAAACATTTACATACGAAAAGAGTTGTCATTTGTATCATTAGATATATCAAAATATTATGGTATTATCACGTGATCATGTAAACGTGTAGTACAGAGGGTTGGTGTTGTTACACTAATGTTTTTGAGAAATCATTTTGGTTACCATGGTTTTCATTGATATACACTGGAGTATCATGTACAGGAGCAATTTCATGCAAATAACAACCATGCCATGAAAAAAAATTTGGTTTTCACCAAAATAGAGAAACCATTTCTACAGTTTCCTGTAAGCAAGTATTTTACAGTAAATGGTCAAAATGTCTCTGTCAGTGTTCTCAAACTATTATATTTGATTTACCAAAGTCACACAAGTACCAATTTCACATCTGTCACATCCATAACAGAAAAGTGTCACATCCATAATGAAGCTTTTCCCTCATAAATGCAAAAAACAAAATCAACAATTTTGTTCTATAATAGTGAGCAACTCTTATCCTTTTGATTAGCATTGTTTCTTTTGGGTTGTGCAGTTTAATTCACAGAATTTCTACAAAGCATGTTGTATACAGTAAACTTGCATACTTCTTTGTCACATCCATGACACATGTTTATTTTCCTCATTTAAAATATAAAAAATGTTTACTGACTGATATTTTATGATCCCACTTAGTGGGTAGTTGTTTTGGAAAGTATAAACAGTTGCTTTAATATAATGTTAACGTATACTTTCTATGTGACTATGTTTTGAGTTTTTACTGAAAATATCACATCCATAATGCTGAAATCGCTCAAATACAATTATATGAAACTAGTTGACACCCATACAGCATAAGATTCATTTTAAATAAGTCTAATTTACAACACCGGTAGCACAGAAACACTTCTAAAGTGGCATTAAAGTGGCTTTACATAATTGTATTGCTCTTTAGTGGCAGATTGGTATTTTACAGTAAAACCATATACAGTGCTCAGCATATAAGTACACTCCTTATAAATCTATCTTTTAAGTTTTAAGTATCTTAATAGGAAGCTATACAGTATTATATTTGTGAGCATGCATTAGATTAGTCAGTTTTGAAGCCAAATCTGGAGCATATCACAAAATAACTTCTGATAACAATCCACAAACTAATACACCCAAATTTATATGTTATAGAAAAAATATTAAATACAAATTCTAAAAAAAAGAAAAAATCAAGAGAAGCAAAAAAAAAAAAAAAATTTGAAAAATTGAAAAATTTAGCTGAAATTTTGTAGGTTGTAATTTATTTTGGCAATATTTAGCTTGAATTTAATTGTATTACCTTTCAATTTGTAAATGTGTTTGGTGACTAAAATATTATTTTAATAAATATATCTGTTTAAAAATTTGTTTTGTTTAAATGCAGCAAAATACAGTGCCTTTGTTCACTGAGAAATGGATAAAAATATTCATTTTCAAAATGGGGGGGGGGGGGGGGGGTTATCTATTATGCTAAGTACTGTATACTTAGTGACTATAGTGTCTCACACTGAATTATTAAAGCAAGCACAAAACATTGTCTTATTTGTGTACAGAAAGACATCTTTACCTGTTGAATGGTTCTGAGCATCTCCATTCAAATCCCAAAATAAAAAAAGAATATGTTTTGGATCAGCGTAATGTCAGTTTTACTTTTTCACAATTCTGATGATCCAGTTTTGTCAGTCAAGTCTTGTATGTGTTAGGCGTGCAGTCAAACCTGTTTCTCGCAAATGTCAAGTTGATGAGACGACTGATAGGTGACCTTTTGACCTTGCGACATAAACTTACTTCACTGTCTTTGAATGTAAAGTGTCAAAGTTATGTTTCTTAACAAACAAACACTCTGTAACCAGTCATTTTGCATGACAGTGTATGGTTTGTTTGTTGTTTTGGCGATGCATTAGTCATTCAGAAGCTGGAGGACTGACAGATGTGTGGTGATTACACACACCTGTGAGTGCATGCCTGTGACAGGATGCACTTTAAGTATGTGGTCAGTGTGTCTGTCCCATAGATATTTAAGTTAGATGTCGCCTACTCTGTTGTTGGTTATTTGCAGGAATGCGTCAACAGAGACGCCATGTTCGTACAGGGTAGTGCTCCATTGAAATGAATGCGTGACCAAGGTGCAGTGTTGGACTGTGGCCATCCAGAGCCAGAGAAATACACAAATATGCATATATCTATGATCAGAAGTTTTCCTGGTGGTAATTATGCAAATATTTTTTTAAATTACTAAAATTATAAGTTTCCATCACTTTTCTATATTGATGGATAAGTGACCGCACGGGCATTCCTGACATAGAACGAGTGTTTGTGTGCATGGAAATGTACTATCCACCCTCCCTGTTAAATTTGCTTTAATCCGTGTCCTACAACCTCCTCTCCTGCTTTCACTTCTCATTCTGACGGAGGGAGAGATTCGTTTGTGAATGAATCTCCATTATGAACGACTCGTTCACTTAGCCTACAACAATACAAGTTTCTGGCACCGCAGCATCTCGTTGTCATATTTTATTTACATTTTTTGCTTATTTCATTCAACAAAACTACCATACGCTTAGTATTTAGTGCAAGTTGGAGCTACTTTGTCTTATGGTGAACGCAGAAAGTGTCTGCATGATCAGCAATAACGCTACTTGTTTTGCACAAAACTCTCGGTTCATGCGTCAGGGCCTGAACAGGGCATTATGATGATGTTAAGTTAAACAGTAAGTAAATAGGAAAGCCAGGTTGTTTCTTTAAGAGTTAAATGGATATTTCACAAAAAAAAAAAACAGTTCAGTTAAAAGAGAAATTTCAAAGAATGTTGGTAACATCAACATTTATTATAGGAAATTATATGAAAATATACTATGGAAGTCAACAGTTACCAATGTTGTCCAACAGAAAATAAACTCATAAAGGTTTGGAACCACTTCAGAGTAAAGAAGTGGTTAGTTGATTTTCTGTTTTGGGAAAACTGTCTCTTTGAGAACAGGCCACCTTTTTTCAGGTAAACTTCACCATCTATCATCAGATGGGTCATATTTGTTTGTCATTAAGTTGCCAATTTGTATTTTTTTTGTGAAATTTTTATATGTCGCACTCAAATCTAAACCATCTACAATCACGCTATGTGACATGGATCTAATAAACATGGATTTGATTTACAGTATGTGATCCATGAAGATGACACATTTAATAGTGAAAATTGGCAACATCAACATTGGAAACAGTCTGATCTTAATTAGGGGTGGGCCAAAATATTGATAAACCATTCCAATATTTTCTGTGGCAATATTATATTTATGGACATCTATATAGATATATCAGCAATATTTTATAGCTCTGGTTGCTCTGGTTTCCTCCACAGTCCAAAGACATGCGGTATAAGTGAATTGAATAAACTTAATTGGCCGTAGTGTATAAGTGTGTGTGTATTTGTGTGTATGGGTTTTTTCCAGTACTGGGTTGCGGCTGGTGGGGCATCCACTGTGTAAAACATATGCTGGAATAGTTGGTGATTCATTCTGCTGGGGTGACTTCTGAAATAGAGACTGAACCGAAGAAAAATGAATGAATGAATTTTTTGGCCAGCAGACATACAGACTATACCGTCTGCATGAGCACCAGTAAACAATGCTGTCTTGTTCATGGAAATGTGTAGATTGTTTAAGAATGCATATCAACAGATAATATTATGTGGCAGGTTTACTGAGAAGAGTATAAACAGAGGTTGGAGTTGGACTTGTGCTGCAAGTGGGCTGGACAAACCTCCTGGAGTTTTCATTGATTTACTTCATGTATTGTACATGACATAGAGTTCAACCTGATGTGATATGATTATGATATAATATGGTGCATGGTACCAACAACTCAGGTGCAAACTGTGTTCAGACATGTTTTTTGGGATGTTAAATAATGGTGCAAAACAACAACAACAAAGAAATTGAACTGAATCTGGAATGTATGAAATACACTGGCCCTGAAAGCCGCCCATGAGACCCAGGTATGAGGCAGAACTCCTCTCAGTTTAAAAAGCACAGTTCATGCCTATTATGTTTGACATTTTGTACATCGCTGTTCCAAAAGAGGGTTTGGATGGCATAGTTTGGAAGTTGTTGTGACTTCAGCACCATTTCATATCATGTGATGCTGAATGTCATTCTATATTCATTCATAGCTCATGTATTCTCGCCATAATAAATACATTGACTAAACCAACTTGATGGGCTGACATTATGATGGTGTATAAGAGATCTTTATTTACTGGTAAACTGGTTTCCTCTTCTATACACCTGGTCATGGTGGTGGTGTTTTGGCAGTAAGTTCAGTGGCAAGTTGGCATATTTGAGAAGAATTGTTCACCCGGCCTCTATTGAATTAAAGTTTCTCCAGGCTGTTTTCTGTAGATGTCTTACTAAAGCAAAGCTTCACTCACCTCTCATTGTTTGTCTGAATAACTGTCTGTCTGGCTGTAGCAAGTGAGTCAGAAGCCTTGTGCTTCTGTTTGTCACCACTTTAATCTCCAGGCTTCACATAAGCTTTTTATGTTTTTAAATACAGTACAGATGTGAGAAGTAGGGCTGGGCGGTATATCGGGTTCTGAGGATATATCGATATGATTCCAAAACGCGTATTATTCAATATCGTTTTTACCGATATGGTTTAAGGCCACATGTGCGCATTTGCGCGAAACAGACCACTCCAAAGTACCACGCGAGCTACACTTGCACAAATGTGGGCATGTGAATGAATCATTCAAGAACGACCCATCACTGACACGACATGGAGGAACATGCAGTGCCGGTGTGGTGAGAAATCTATCTGACTCCCCGGACAAATCTGACTCCCTT